GGATGGAATCGCTCGTTGGAGCATAATGGGCTCTGATACCATGTCAAGATTTGGGGGTCCATCTTAAAAGGTCAACTTTATTAAGAGGAGTAGCCCAAGATCATTATTCGATGTGGGATTTATATCCCTTAACATGGGGGAGGGGGGGCGAGTGGTTTAATTTCAATTTACCATTGAGCTTTCTGTATTTTGCCTCCTTAAGGATATTCACCTTGTCGCAGTTTCTCTGTTGTAGGACTTCTTCAAGATGATGTTGATCCCATGGTGTCTGTAATGAAAGGTTGAGAAGGCTCCATTGGAATCATATGCTGATAATGGTGGGCAGGATGCCCACTTGGCCACATCCAAGAGATCAAAGAGGCAGTTGAGCTCCCATTGACTCACCCTGAACTATATGAAGATGTTGGTATTAAACCTCCTAAGGGTGTCATACTCTATGAAGAACCTGGAACTGAAAAGATATTGCCTGCCAAGGTCAGTGTCATCATAGTTTTGGTACACTTAATAAATAGCTTGCAAAGGTTTGTAATTATTGTATGTCAAAAGTATTGTAGCTTGTAAAATTCTCTTCTTGATGTTCTTCAGGCAGTGGCAAACTCTACATCAGCAACTTTCTTGCGTGCTGTTGGAAGTGAATTGATTCACAAGTACCTTGGAGATGATCCTAAATTGGTTTATTGATGAAATCGGTTGGTACAAAAAGGTATTGTCTAGAACGTCAGTGTCCTAAAAATAGGAACATTTACAGATGGGTATTAATGAATGTTATTTGCGGATATGATGCTCACTCAGGCGGTGAACGTGAAATTCAGAGGACTATGTTGGAACTGCTGAACCAGTTAGAATGTTTTGATTCAAGAGGGGATTTAAGGTCATTCTCACAACAAATAAAATTGAAAGTCTTGATCCCGCCCTGCTTCAACCTGGTAGAATAGACCTAAAGATCGAATTCCCTCTTCCAGATATTAAGACGAGGAGGCGTATTTTCCAGGTAAGCATGACATGATTTGTACACGTGAAATACCATCAGTACATCTCAGTTCGACATTTCTGATGATTGTTACCTCATTGTGCGAAACTTCTTGTTTAATTCATAGGTACACACATCAAGGATGACACTGGCTGATGATGTCAACCTAGAAGTATTTTTTATGACGAAAGATGAGTTTTCTGGAGCTGATATCAAGGCCATATGTACTGAAGCTGGATTGCTTGCTTTAAGAGAGAGCCGTATGAAGGTGAGGCACTTCAAATTAATATCAAGAGTCGGGGTGGACGTGGGTTAGAGAGGGGGAAAGAAGGAAATGGCTGTTCAAACTGTAAGCCCCGAGTGGTGGGATGTGTGCATGGTGGTGTTAGGCTGTGCAGGGTAGGGAATGAGATGACTGATGAGAACTGGGACATTTCTGCTAGGAGAGGCATTTGCAAGATAGCCGGAGAGGGGTATTTATTTGGGTAAATAGACATTTTTGAAACAACTAAAATGGAAAGGGATTCAAAATGGATTAAAATTTGTGTAACAGTCTATATTAGTATGCACTTACTCTGGACTTTCTGATTTATTAATATTCACAAATGCTCTGTTATCAATGGTTTAATGTTCACTTATCATGCTTATTAAGGTGGCACAAATTCACTTGTATCACTTGTTTCTCAATTTATTTGTTTTTCTTATCAATGATCTTGACACTATTCACAGAAATATGGAAATCTTAAATGGCAATATTTTGATTGATTCATCTTCAATTCCACTCAGCTGGTTTATATTTTAATATTCAGAAAAAAAAAATGCATTGTACAGTATCCATAAAAAAGATGGTGAACATTTGGCTGCCTACAAATAAAACAAAGCTTTTATTCAAGTGCTATATGAGAATTTCAAGTTGAAGCTTGTGAATATATTTTGGTAGCATGCCCACAAATGAAACAAAGCACTGCTTTGACACTGTTAAAACAGGCTAGATTGATTACACCATAGAAGGCCAACATTTGTAGTAATAACTAATAACTAAATTTTAATATTACGGGACAGTACCGGCACCGGGGTCGGTACTGTTACCGGGGTTGGCACCGACATCACCTACACTTGCACCTCCACCTAAGCCGCTACCGACACCGCCACCAAGGCCACCAAATCCACCTGCCCCAATAACGTCCCCAAGACCACCGAGTCCACCCATGCCAAGGCCAAAGCCAAGACCGGTAGCTATACCCCCCATGCCACCGAATGTGGGGATGTTCTTCTGCTCATTCAGAATCAGACCCATGTCAACAGGCAGAACTCTTGCTGTTGCCTGAGCTACAACAAGAGCAACAAGAAGAAACATTATGCATAACTTTGCCATCTTTATAAAAAAATTCTCTTAATTTAACTAATGGATGTTGTAGCTCTACTTTTATAGACGTGAACGGGGACCGGGG